AAAATAAACACCGGCCTGAACTTTAAATAAGACATCCTAGGTGTTAAATCTTATCCCCCAAATAGATTTACCAGCTTGGATAGCTCTGGCTTAAACCTGGAGAGGACTTACTGCATCACTGAAATAGAAACCACCAGTTGCATTGGTAGTTTTCTATTTAAATATGAATCCCACTTTGGTGGTCTTTTCCTCTTTGGCTGTGGCTTTCAAAATCCTGCAGACAATGTAGCTAATGGGTACATATTGTCACCAGGGGACACTCTTTATTTAGCTTGTTATTTGCCTTCCAGTGCATGTTAATCCTAGCATAGGATTTTTCTGGGCATGATTTATTTGGGGGAGGTTTGTCAATGTTTTCCTCTTGGGTTGTGACATGCTCAAGGGACTTTATCTCATGAGACAGGCATACCCGTATTGCAGTTGGACTGCCACCTTTGGTGATGATCCCTATCGCACATTGTATGGGTATCCTGCTACCAGTCCATCTCCTCTCGATTATTGTTTTATAGATTACTATTAATAGATAAGACCAACCAATAGCTCCAAATTCTGTAATGTTTCCATTACCTACCTTGATGCAATAGGTCCATTCCAATTTTGGCCTGGCGTGCCACCAATAAAGTGTTGTTGTTCATTATACACTGTGTTATGCCTATACTATATAAATTTGTTGTTTGTTGAATATTGTAATATACAAACTGTTAGGTAATATTGACCTTTGTCATTTATGTACCACAACTTTTAGTGGATTTGTGTTTTTTGTATTGGTGGGAATCCATTGTCTTCTTGTACCAATAAAATGGCATCAGGAAGTCAGATTCTCCTCCTCTTCATAGAATCATAGAGTTGGACGAGAACTTGTGGGGCATCCAGTCCAACTCCCGGCCAAGAAGCAGGAAAATTGTATTCAAAGCACCTCTGACTGATGGCCATCTGTTTAAAAGTCTTCAAAGAAGGAGCCTCCACTGCTGAACAGCTCTGTTCTTTCCACATTCATATTTCTATTCATATTTACATTTGCCTTTTTTCACATTGGCATTGCAAAATTGCTCTAAAATAAAAATAAAACATTGAACAGCAATAGTGCAAAAAGGTGGGGTTATGTGGGTACTTGGAAGTATGACTACAGGAACATGAACTGTCAGAATGTCACAAATGCATGATTGGAGAGAGGTGTTCAACCTGTTATGTATCGATTGTCAGTGATAGCACAACTACAGCAGATTCTTAGTGTATTTCATCACACTGTGATCCATTCCATCCCTGACATGAGCAGCCAGTGAGCTATAATAGTAGTGGGTTAAGCTTTTAAGAAGCTTTGGTTTGTTTTTAATGACTGATGCTTTGTGTGTGTGTTTATTTAAAAACCAACCTTATCAAATGCAATGTTTGACTGTGTATTGCATGACAAGATCGTTTTAATGTGCGGTGCTTCAGTTGAAAGTGCATTGAAATTGGACCTATTATTTACAGGTCCATTTCTCCTCCATGATAATGTAAAGGCATTTTCTATTGTTTTGGATAACTGAAGAGACATTTTGGTGATGTGTTTCAAATCAGAACATTTGTCAGTCTAGTTTCAGACCAAGTCACAGCAATGAAGTGACCTTGGTTGCTCTGATTGATGACTTACTCTGGGGTGGAGGGAGAGACAGGGAAGTGCTATCATGTTGATCTTTCTGGATCTCTCAGTGCTTTTGACACCATTGGCCATGGGATTTTGCTGACCTGGCTTTGTGGAACAGGGGCAGGAGGTTTTGTTCTGCAGTGGCTGGCTACATTTGGCTCCAGAAGGCTGGTTCCAGAAGATTGGTTCCAGAGGATTGAAGTGTTCCTATTCAGTCCTATGGCTATTAATCCATCTTACTCCTCATCCTCTTCAATATCTACATGAAGCTGCTGGGGGAGGTGGAAAAGGGGTTTGGGGGGGAGTGTCATCAGTATGCATTCCAACCATGAGTTTTTCGGCTTTGAAACCAGAATATGTTAATTATGAATTGTGGGGGTGGGGGTAGCATGATGTGGTGGTTTGAGCACTGAACTCTGAAGACCAGGGTTTGAATCTCCATAAAGACATGAAAGAAACCCCACTGTGTAACCTTAGACAACTTACACTCCTTCAGTCTTGGATGAAGGCAAAGGGAAACACCCCGCTGAACAAATTTAAATCTGTGATAGGGCACTTTAGGTTGTCATGAGTCAAAAACAACTTAAAGGCATACAGTAACAAAAACAATATTAAAAATAAGCATAGCACACTGTTCAGGGCCACATTTGAGCTTTTTTCCCCCACTGGTGGGGTCCTGTACCTTTACTGCTCTGTCTCAGCTATTGAGTCTTCTTGAACAATGTTTTCTCCTTGTTTTTGGCAAGGTAGGACACAAATGTCAAAGAGAAATGTCAACTATTTTGTGGTTGCTATGAGAAAATTGAATTAAAGACAATCATGAATCACCTTTGTATTCCTTATGGATCATTTGAACTTGGATTGGGTTCTAGACCAGTGGTTCTTAACTTGTGGGTCCCCAGATGTTTTGGCCTTCAACTCCCAGCGCACTTCCAGACAGCACTAAATCACGGGTTTTAAACAGGACAAAAAATCTCGGGACCTCAAAAAAGGTCCACATACAAACCTGTTGGTCTCAGGATTTCTGCCTCTCTTGTCCAGACCTGATGCTTTGTAGTGAGATTTAGAAGCTCCTAAGATAGCCACCACGGGACTTCTGCCAGAAACTCTGATTTTTTAAAAAATCCTCAAGATGCAGATATGAGGAGAATCACTGCAACGAATCACAGAAAAAGTTCCTTTCTTTGTTCTGGTCAGATAAATTGTGCCCTCCACACATTTCATGAAGTTTATGGCATACAAAATTTTTGCCTTCTACTCAAGTGTCACCTTCTTTTTAGGAACTGACCAATCAGGAACAAACATCTCAAACCTAGGAACAAGCCCAGATAAAAAATCCCATGATTTTCGATTGCAGGGACATAAGACATGCAACGATCTCCATATTCGGTTTAAAATTGCAATATTCCTGCACCTGGAAATCTCATGTTTTTTGCTTTTTTGTAGCGATTGCTTCAACTTTTATAGAGAACAGGATCCGGCCACTCTCCTGTTTGCTATGGAAGCTCCTGGGATAAAGTTACTATCTGGACAGGCCCCTAGAAATCCTAACAGCTGGTAAATTGGCTGGGATCTCTGGGAGTTGTAGGCCAAAACATCTGGGGACCTACAGGTTGAGAGCTACTGCTTTACACTATAGCTAAGGTAAAGCTCTGATGCTACTTGTGGTCCTTTAGGGCTGTGTTTGTGGCCCTCAAAAACAGTACAATCCTCAAATCAACCCTTTAGTTTGCTTTATTTGTTTCAATGACATTTCACTACCTAGAACTTGGGAGGCTGTGCGCTGCGGGGACACTGCATTGTAGGGGACACTGCATTGTAGATGCACATTTTAAACCATTGTTGTAATGGTTCCTAACCTTTGGTCCTCCAGGTGTTTTGGACTTCAGCTCCCACAATTCCAAACAACTGGTAAGATGGCTTGGATTTCTGGAAAGTTAAATTCCAAAACATTTGGACTTATAGCACTTAGTATCTATCAGCAGTATTCCTTCCAAGTACCAATTAGAGGTTATCCAACTTAGCCACCAAGATCAGATAGGATTGTGTGCCGTTAAGGTATTTAGGCCTCCCTCTAACCAAAGACATGTGTGGATAAAGAGGATAAGAGTGATCCTATGTACAATATACTGTATTTCTCAGGGCAGGTCTAGACCTGGAAGTTTAGCCTATTGTAAATATGTCCTGGAACAGTCCTGGATGAAGCATGTTCATGCCTAATCTGGGGTCATTGTTCATATGGCTAAAGAGTGCATCCACTCCACTCTGGTGACACGCATCTCACCTCCTTCATGTCATCTCAGCAGTTGTTCGGAACTGACCACAGAGCTCTATGTCAGCTCCTGCCTGCCATGGGCATTTCTGCTGACATCAGAATGGCATGCCCATGCAACCCCTCCTCCTTCCTGGTCATGGAAGTGCCCCATTCTTAGATTGGCATGTGACCCTGAAGAAAGAAGAGAGACACATAACTCCTTCATGCATATCATGTTGGCAGCCTATTCTCATGTCTGTAGAAATGCCTGTGATGGGCAGGAGCTCACATGGATCTCCATGACTAGCTACATCTAGCCAGTGGTGGCACTGAGAAGGGCACGATTCATCCCCTTTTCTTGCATTGATGAGTACAGGGAAAGGGGGATAGGATGTGATTCAGCTATCCCAACTTCCCTTTAGTTTCCAGTAAATTCCAGCGTATACCCTGACTTTGCTCGAAGTGGGGCAAAAATGGGGTTAAAACAAATAAAAAAACCCTCTGTGATACTGACCAGATATAGCTGTGTATCATTGATGCAACTAAGTGTTATCCATCTTAGTCTTCCATTTAGGGGGTGAGACCTGATTGATGTATATATTTTTTGCCAAAGTCGACAACCCTTAAAGCAGTCATTCAATAAATGAAATGTAATATCAAGGAATAATAAATCAGGATATATTTATGTTGCCATGGAGAAAATCCTGGAAGCTTTCCCATATGTATTATGTTCCAGGAGAGTTTTGAGGCAACTTTCCCAGTACCTCATGTTCCTATTTTTCTGTGAAATACCCATCTGTGCAACCTGCGGATGTGACATATGCTGTCATGGTGATTTCACCAGCCTCCATCTACAGGGAAGAATATATTTCCCCCTATTATTCCATGGTGATGTGTGTTCCAGATTCTGCCTCTCTGCCAGCTGAGAAAGCCATTCTGTCAAGAGCAGAATTGGACTATTAGCAGGGTAGGTATGAACCCCCCTTCTGCATACCCAACTGACTCCCCAACATGCCTTCCCCATTTCTGCATCTTCTGCACCAACTCTGGCTGTGTTTGACGTCAGCAGTGGCAGAAGCCAATAAGAAGAGACCCCCCTTTTCTCTCCTTTTCCCTCAGAAGAGCGTGCCGCTGGAGCTGAGCAGTCAGGCCAGGCGAGCTGTCATCTATGCTCAGCCTGTGTGGCTGATGCAGTCGAGTGCGCTCAGTTGCTAGGGGACCCTGTAGGCTTGGGAGCAGCCGACACACCAGCTAGTTCCCATGCAGGGAATGGGGACCTTCCGGCTGGGGAGAAGGACTGTGATGTATACTGTGGAAACCATTCCTAAAGGGAAGAATCGAGTCCTGGGGGTGAGTGACACAACTGTGGGGGAGTGCGTGCAGTGGAGTGGAGAGGAATGAAGGAGGAAGAGAACTGTGGATGTGGGAGGATGGAAGACACCAAGAGCCCCCCCCCCCCCTAAAAGCACTGGATCTCCTAATTTTGGGGATTATGCCATTCCAGATTTCTCCTGTGTGTCTTTTGTGTTGTGCGTGTGTGAGAAACAGAAAGAGATGGCAGGAGCAGGTAGCAATAGAAAGAGTGAGGGGAATTGTTGTCAAGATGGATATTTTTAACAGCCCCCTGAAGTAACCATTTTCATGGCCCATTTTGAGGAACATTTTCCTGAGAGAGTAACTCATTCTAAGGATGCTTTTTTTCTGGTCTTCGTGTGCATGTGTTCATTTTTGTGCTAAACATTTCCACTGATCAGTAATTAGTTTTGTAGCGAGCAAGAAACTAGCCCAAGGAAAGGTGCTCCTGACCCTCTGCTCTCTCTGGAGTGCCCAGTGCTCTGCGCTGTGAAGCGGAGGCACAGCAGACTTTAGTACTAATTTTAGGACAGTGGAGGGAAGGCTGAACATTGTCATCTCTATGCATAAGAGGAAAGGAGCAGCATCGCTCCAGGAATAGAGTGTTAAAATAGAAAGTCAGGCAGAACCATAACAACACCTTTGAGCAATCTTTACAAGAATGACTTGTATCTAGTCGTGAGCTTCAGCAACTAAATGGAACCTCCATATGCCAGATACCGAGGACAGCCAACGACAGAGCAACAGCACATTTTTGCTTCATTGTAGAGGCACGGAAAAAAGAATACTATATTAACTGGGTCTTTGGCATGATCCTGCCATGTGTCCCGCCCTTAGGCTGATGATGCCACTGCATTGTTCAGAAACCTGATCACAAGCCACAGGCTTTTGTGCTGGCATCTGTGGCCTCTGTGCACAGGTCTGGGGGTGTTTTCTTCATTACTAATACACAATCCCCAATCAGAGTTCAGCCCAGCTATTAAAATGGTTTCCTGGGCTGTGCTGTGAGTGAAAAATAAACCTTGTTACTGGTCCTGGAAGCAGTATGAGTTATATCTGACATAACATCTTCCACACATTAAAAAGCACAATGACAACAACTTTTTTACATTTTTTGCAAAGAATAATAAATAGCATCAACCTCCCCCCCCCCCCCCCCCCCCCCCCCCCCCCCCATACACTTTCCCAACACTCATATCCTTGTGGCTCTTCACAGACCCATGGGTGAATAGAAGACTAAAGTAAAAGAGGGGGTGTTAGATCTGCTCTTGAAGACTACATCACTGGGTGGATGTCCAATGGCATAAATGGATTCTGGTCCATGTCGTTTCTTATGTTATGGTGGTAAGCAGGCAAAATGTTCGTGACTACTTTTAAATTTAAAGCACAAGGGTTAGTCTATGCTCATTTGAGCATGTAAAGAAAATACGCATATGTGTGTATCAGTTTGGCTTAGGTTCAAAATAAAGCAGAGTCCTATAGAGGACATACCTACAAAGGTGGATTCCCATGGTTGAGTTCATGCTTTAGTACTAAAGAGAGAGCTTAGGAAAGGAATTCCCCTCCTTTGTGCTATAGAGAGGTGTGCTAGTATTCTGGGATTCACTAGCCCTTCAACATGTATGCTATTCAGAAAGACAGCATAGACCCCCAACTGGAATAAGGAGGCTATAGACTTCGTGAGGAATAGAGACTGCCAGGCATCAGATATCCTGTACAAGTGCTTTGAAAGAGCCTTGCTGTCAGAAGAAACAGCATCAATATGCATTGCCTTCTAGGTTTCTTTGGCTGAAAAGAACTATATTTACTTCCCAGTTCTACAACCAACACTACTACTAAAGTTGGCACATATGAAATTAATACAGTATGTCTGATCTGATCTTTAAATACACAAATGCATTAAAGTCCATATTATATTTAGAAAAAAACCTTTTGCGGATAGATGCGATAGTCTATTACAGAATCCAAAATTGTCCACATGGCTGGCTGAGATAGTGATTGCTTTCTGAAGTTTCAGCATACACAAACTTTGAGTTATGCAAACTGATACTTTACTGAGTAGGAGCAAAATCATTAGACTGGCCAAATGGCTATTGCCTATGCCATGGATATTGATTTGTACTTATTAATTCATGTGTATAATTTTATCTTTTTATCTCTCTAAATATATATAGATAAATAATCACTGTGATTTAAATTTTAAAAATTTAAATCACATGTCATCATGATGGAATGAAGTGTACCTGGTGACAACGTGCCTGTCTAGTTTGCAGTTCAGTGGCTTTAGGACTGATGGAGAACTTCAGGGTCCCAGCAGTTAAAACGGGTTGCTTAACATTAAACCAATCTTGGACTGGACAGTACTTAAGATGGAGGAAATCTTCAAAAAAGGATTTTCCATAGACAACCCTTCCAACTGGGGACTGTCCATTCTAAAGTTGGACTCACAGCTACCCCAGTACCATGTGGCCTGGCTTATTTATTCTTCATGTCTTGAGCTGACAGAGACATCAGAAAATACAACTGTGGTTCCTTCAGTCAAAAAACTAAGTAGGAAACACAAACTACAAGAAAAGAGATTCCATCTGAACATTAGGAAGAACATCCTGACTGTGAGAGCTATTCAGCAGTGGAACTCTCTGCCCCGGAGTGTGGTGGAGGCTCCTTCTTTGGAGGCTTTTGAACAGAGGCTAGATGGCCATCTGTCGGGGGTGCTTTGAATGCAATTTTTCAGCATTTTGGCAGGGGGTTGGACTGGATGGCCATGAGGTTTCTTCCAACTCTACAGTTCTATGATTCTATGATTCTATATGTTTCCTACCTAGTGATTGCTTTATGTTGAGCTTTCCATGTGTTGCTATGTGGATAATTGGGATAAATCTCATCGCACCAATATTCTAATGTGCCCCTACCCTATAATGAAATGCTGAGTAGGTTAGTGCTTTTCTAAGACCGGCTATCCATTCATATACCTTTCCTTCTTTGGGTTTTGTAGAATTTTTTGGACTGAACCTTCAGCAGTTTGTCAGCTAGTACCAGGACTGGGGAAGAAACAGTCCAAACACAGCCCAACCCCAGGCATAAGCTTGCTTCTCAGAAATCCTTTCTAAATAGCAGCATCTCTCACATGTTGCCCTACCTGGTGTTTATATATGAAAAGTCAAACAACTTATGTTACTACACAGCTACAGTATTCACAGCTATAAAATGGTGGCAGAGTTACCCATTGCCTTCTCTCTGAAGTTGAGAAGATCAATATTGGTGTTGCAAAGGCAAATCTGAGTTGAGCATTGGATTCAAACAAACATCCTTTGAACCTCAAAATATCTAGAGAAAGAGTAAACCAGATGAAACAGGCCAAGCTTTAGCTAGTGTGGGAAGAAAGAGGAGGGGAAATAGAATGGATGATTTGATATCCTCCAGTGTAAAAACCATGGCGTTCTAGAGCTGGAAGGTGCCATGGGTCCAATGGCTATCTAGTAACTTGTTTCAGAATAGTCTTGCTCAACTTAAAGCCCATCTCAACATGATTTATAATATATACTGTATATATTCACCAGCCAGGTGCGTGACATCCCGCTTTTTGCTGTACCAGGCAAGTTTAACAAGCTGAAAGTTTAGAGAGAGACCTTTGATAGACGACCATCAACAGTTGAACCACCTGAGTCCAGCTTAATGGATCACACTATATTCTACAGACTAGTTTTGTAACTTCCCATAAATTTTGGCTGGCCTGAGTTAACCTAAAAAGGAAACCTTAAATCAAAGAGACTTCATTGTGTGGTGTATGTCAAAGAAACAATCAGATCATCCAACAAAATTATCTGGGGTAATGTATCTACCAAACCCCTATCCCCTATTCCTAGGTCCAACTTGATCAACCTTACCCAGTTGTGGATTTTAATTTAGTGTCTTTCTGTCCTGCTAGTATCTGAACCACACAGAAGTGCTAATTGGAGCAGATGTACAAATGTCAGATTTAATTCAATTTGCAGATGATATTAACTATTCCTGTGAACATTTGGGAACATAAAGTTCTTCTGTAATAAAAAAAATCAGAAAATGTGACATGCATTCTCCATGGAAAGATGCTTCGGAATGAACTGTGTACTAATTGCAACATTAAAAATTGCTTCATGATTTCAGCCTGTTCTCTGATCTTAACCTTCTGAAGTCAGTGTAGTTTTATTTATTGAATTTATATCTCACCTTTCTCTCAAAGTGAGATCCAAGGCTGAAGGAATGTGTGAGGGTGTGTGGCTTGAAGGAATGTGAGCAGCTAGCATGTGTCTGTGTGAACCTAATCTATCACGTGCCAAGTATTGTTCCTTTAATTGTTCCCACAGACCATCCAGATCATGACTGGCTTCATACATATCAGCTTTGGAATCATTCTCAGCACCTTGACCAGTGTATATACCTCATTCTTTGTGTCGGGAGAGATCCCCTTCTTGGGAGGAGCATCCGTGAGTATTACAAATTGGGCCGGACAAATCCCCTGGGATGGATGGGAACTGAGATGGAAGAGCAGGCAGGCAAGATTGGAGAGGAAGATTAAAAGAGAGATGATAGATGAAGAAGGAGTGAGAAGGAGGACAGAATGCTGCATGCAAGAAAGAGATAGGGATGGTATGGAAGAGGCATCAACAGTTTCAAGGAAATCAGAAAGCTTCTGGACAACTGTGATTTGCAGCACCATTCTGGAAATGCCTACATAGGATTGAACTCTATTGTATTTAGTAGAACCTAATTCCAGCTAAATGAGTACAAGCAATCCCCAAGTGTATGGAGATTTCAAGTCAGTGCTGTGAGTGAAACTTTCAGATGCCTCCTGGCTTCTAACAATAAGACAGATGATCTTTTTCATTTTTCAAAATCCATTTTGAATCTCATTTAGTCTGTTGTCTAAAAAATGGCCTGCATGTTCTAAAGTATGTTATGGTATTAGGATTCATTCCTTTCCCTTCTTTCCTTCTTTTTTTTCTTTTCTTCCTTTGTGTCTAAAATTCAGTGTGTTTTAAAAAATGTATTCACATCTGTTTTTACTAAAAGTGAAAGCATGTTAAAAATCCCTATTTCCAATAAATTGCACTATATAGAGAGGTTATTTTTTAAAAGAAGAAAAATATGAATACACATGCAAAGTAGTGATATATTTTGAGTGACTTCCTTAGAACAAAAAGACAATTCATTTCTGAATTAGGGTTTTGGATCAGTTCCATACAAGATAAAGCAGGTACTGTCTAAATCAGTGATTCTCAACCTGTGGGTCCCCAGGTGTTTAGGCTTACGGTTCCCAGAAATCCCAGCCAGTTTACCAGCTATTAGGATTTCTCAGAGTTGAAAGCCAAAACATCTAGGGACCCACAGGTTGAGAACCACTGGTCTAAAATGTATACATTCTTCACTCTAGATGCACCTTCCGGAAAATCTTTATGCTAGGCAGTTTTTAAGCAGGAATATTACAAACTCCTCAAATTCTACCCTATAGAAAACAGTGTTTTGCAATATGTCACTTAAACAGGTCTTCCTTTGGTACAATTGTCATGTCTTTCTATGCAGAATTGTACAGACATGCATAAAAGAACAGGGCTAGCTTTATGAACACATGAAGTGCAGTTCAAAAGAAGAATTAATTGTCATGGTCCCATCCTATGCAATCTTGGGATTTTTAGTCTGTTGACCTGTCTGCTCCTCCCGAGATGCCATAAATTGGAATCCAAATAGCCTCAACCTACCTGAAATGTGAAATTATACAAAACAACTGTTCGTAATCCCATTCTTTTCCACATTAACAACTAGGCTTAAATATAGGAATTTGAAGACAGGTTAAATATGGGGCACATAAAACACTATATACAAGTTTACTCAGTACAGCAGTCATGTGGGTGCATCTATACTAGTGGTCCCCAGATGTTTTGGCCTTCAACTCCCAGAAATCCTACCATCTGATAAATTGGATGGGATTCTGGGAGTTGTAGGGCAAAGCATCTGGGAACCCATAGGTTGAGAACCACTGATCTATACTGTAGAACAGTGGTTCCATGGACCACTGGTGGTCCATGGACCACCAGTGGTCTGCAAGAATGAAAATATGGTCCAAAGTCTCACCATGACTACACCATTGCTACAAAACCACTTGGCAATGAGAGCAACTGGTCTCGCGAAACCCTCTTATAGTGCTGAGGCAACAGGGATGTCAGAAGAGGAGTGGCTGACTACCCACAAAAGATTAATACTATGACATCAGCTCTAGATTATTAAATATGGTTTTCTGTGAGTGAGCAAATGGCAACTACTGGATGGCACATGTTCTGTATCAGAAACAAGAGCTGATGCAGTCTATCCAATGCAATTTTTCTGAATCAGTACCCCAAATAACCAAATTGAATCTGAAGTTGACCAAAAACCGATTCGTAACCCTTTTGGTACTAATGTTGTAGGGTGATCCCTAGTCAAAGTGGTCCCTCGTCAGGTGGTTCCTGGGCAAAAGAAAAGGTTGGAAACCACTAGTCTAGAGCCTAATCCAAGTCCAAATGATCCGTAAGGAATACAAAGGTGATTTACTCATTGGCAACAAAGACTAAAAACGTAAAACTACAGCTTCCATAATTCCATAGTGTTGAGCCATGTCAATTAAAGTTTTGTAAAACTACATTTACTCTAAAGTATATAGATGTACCTTTTGTCTGTGGAAATGTACACCTGAATCTAGTCTAAATGTTTCTACTGGTTTCTGCCAATAGACTCTTTCAGTGTAATACTGATTATCAGGTGATGGGCAGCCTAATGCCCCTTTTACACTGCCATATAATCCAGATTATCAAAACAGATAATTATATGAGTCTACACTGCCATATAATCCAGTTCAAAGCAGATAATCTGGATTTTATATGGCAGTGTAGAAGGGCTCTGAATCATTGGTAACCTCAATTATAGGAGGGCCACTGAATAGAATAGACTTTTCTCATCACTAAGCATGTGATTCAGCAAGTCTGCTCTAATTTGGATTGCCAGCAGGAGTCAGGACTATATATCCACTGCCGTATTCTAAGATAGAATTTAACAACCCCAGCATTTGTGCAGAAGTATAACTATAGAATAATAGAGCTGGAAAGGTGCTGATGGGCCATTGAACCTGCTTAATGTAGCAACTCCAGCTAGAGAATTCTTGTCAGCTAGAACATTCCCATCAGATAGCTGCCCAGCCTCTTTTTGAAGCTATACAGAGAAAGAGATCTCCACACCTCCCTAGATAATTGGTTCAACTGCCTAACTCCTCTTACCATCAAGAGTTCAATCGAAATCTACCCTCCTGTAACTTAAAACTATTAGACTTAATCGTACTCTCTGGGGTGGCAGAGAACAGACTTTTACTATCCTCTCTGTGACAGCCCTTTAGATATTTAAAGAGTACAATCATATCACTTCTCAGTTATTTAATGTTGTATTAGTTATCCCAAAATATATACTACTATGTGGCAGGATTTTCACAAGTTATTTTTCAGAGTATTAACTCATAAGGAAATATGGGAAAATTTAAGATGGATTTGCTGCTTTTGCAATGTCTTTAAAATTACTAGCAGGATCTCTGGTAAAGCCTGCATCTCAAAAGGTGGCAAATAGGTGTTAGCCTTATGGATTCACTGGGTTTTGTGTACAACCAAAATTCATATAAATTTCACCCAGAACAACCTCTGCAATTGAGTGGCCAAACAGAGGAAATCACAAGATCTGAAGCACTTGTGTGGTCATGTCAGCTATTGCTTACTACACTTTAAAAGTTACAGTGATGTCAGACTTCAAGTGCAAATTCCCAGACGTTAGGAGGCCTCGGGTATATTATTTGCTAAGAGACAGTGTGGTATATGTAGTGGTTACAATACTGGATTTGGAAAATGTGGGTTTTAGTCCTCACTGGACTATGAAATTCACTGGGTGACCTTGACCCTTAACCTTGACTGGGTGACCCTCTCTTTCCACTTAACTACAAGGTTATGAAGGCTACAAGGTTATTTAATAAGTATGTGAGATTGGATAGAATGTACTGAACCGGTCCCTATTTTAATCTTCATTCTGCAGACAGCAACATCTAACCATAATCTTTGCACTCTTGATGGCAAAGACCTACTTTCATTGCTCACCATCCAATGTGGACAACAGATCATCCACTGTTCATGCAGTTCTACTAATTACAATTTAGGCTTAAGTTTAAGATAGTTGCAATGGGAAGAGGTGCAATGGGAAAGGAACATACAAAACAATACCCAAACACTTTTGGAGTGGAAAAGGCTACAGCTTTGTTTATTCCCGCTCTTAGATCTTTGGTAAAGTCCAGGATTCCAGATCCTATCATTTTTGCCAGTGAGATTATTTTCTCACTGCACCCCATCTGGTAGGTGAACTCACAGGATGACAGTAAATGGACACAAGATGCTGTTTGTTTGTTTTCCTTCTGGGAATGAGACAGCGATGAGAGCTCCTCACCATGAGATCCCTTAAAGAGACCCCCAAATATGGGGAAGTTCCACCTCTGCCAACCAACACAACACAGGATGGACTGATTGGGGCAAAAGTGCTCCAAGGAACTCAGGATACCTGGTGAACAGCCAGGATTAAAATAGAAGCTCTCTCAGCTTCTTACAGCTGTGCTTATTCTAAAATCAGTTCTGCTCTGAATCCTGAAATAATAAGTAACAAATTGTTTTTTCCTGAGATGAACAGATTTTATCATAAATTATTGCTGAACATATTGCTGCTGAATATATTACGTATATCACAGCCATAAGTAAAGGTAATAAGAACTTGGAGATTAGACTTCTGCAGATTAACTGAGAATGAAAAAATATCCTAGCATTGATGGAGTTATCCTATATATTCATCTATAGGTCTAGAAATTGTAGTCAACAGATCAAACAAAAAAGAAAAGAAAACCCTGGTTGACTTATTCATAGATCAATGCGAGTAATATAGTTTAATCCCTGTCAAAAAAGGAAGCATCTCATTCTCTGAGTCGAGTGACAAAAGCTAACAGCATACACCATATTGGGAGAACCTAAAAGAAGCACCAACCCCATGTACTCTCTTTGCTGTGTCGTTTCTTTTTGGCTTATTGAATGCTTGGGCAGAGAAAATGCAGCAATGGACAGGAGTAGCTGGCCACCTGAGGTCGCATTGGTGCTTTTCCCTCTCTGTGGAATGATCCTCAGTTTATCTATGGGTCATATCAAAATTCACAGTCTTGGCCCCCAAACCCACCCCTAACATATACACTTGGTGGACTTACGCAAGCATATATGTGGCACTTACATATATTATATTCAGTGTCTCCGTTACCAGTATTGAAGATATGATTGGGTACTTCCCTGCCATCTATGCACCAGGTATTGAGTTCTCTGTCCTTTGTATTGGAAATTCAGAGTCTGACAGAACCGAATAGAAAAGAGCTAAAACTGTGAAGTATTGT